TCAGCCACTAACCAGAAGGTCGGTGGTTTGATCCCAGGCTGCTCCAGTCTGCATGCCAAATATCCTTGGGCAAGATAACTAACCCCATGTTGCTCTCCGATGCATCCATCGGTGTGTGAATGTGTATGAATGTTAGATACTTAGCACTTAAGCTTAGAAGTGCTTGTGTAAATGAGTGTGATTGGGTGAATGAATTAGTTGTATAAAGCGCTTTGAGTGCTCAGACAGAGTAGAAAAGCGCTATATAAGAACCAGTCCATTTACCTTTTACACAAAGACTATGCATAACAACTTTGCATTTGAGAGCAATTCGATTTTTTAGATATTGATCATAGACAGAACATTAACTTGGAAGGTAACTTGTGTCTTTGTTTCCAACTCTAGAGAAACTGGCCCACGCCAAAGAAGAAAATCTGGACATGCACCAGGTATTGGACCAAACCCTTTTGGAACTCAACAATCTATAGTGACCTTTACAGATATCAGTGAACGACAGCCTGAATGAAAGCAGGAGGAAAAACCAGATTCATCTTTCATAATACTCCCAGGCTGCATCTCTAAAATAAATAAAGGAAATATGAGGGTTTGCTATTCTCATAATTCTAAAAGCAGGAGCAAGAAAAACGCCTTTTGCAGTGAATGTGAAACTTCAAAATATCTTAGATATTGTCAAAACTTCAATCATTATTAAACTGAAATTAAACTAGAACATCAATCATGGAAACAGCTATATTAAAAAACAGACATTTATGTATCACAAGACATACAGTATGTGCATTGTCACTGTTATTAAAGGATAGTAAGATTAAAATTGTTTTAAAAAGAAACCCAGCTATGTGATAAAAGAAGGTTTTAAGTATTATTACTTTTATTTCTTGCCATGGATGACATTTTAGGTTTCACCTCTTCATTTTGCCGTTGTTACTTTTCATGCTTTGTTCTTTATATGGAGATATGAATACTGATCCCTCAATAAAAGCCAATATATAGACATGTTGGTTTTGTAATTGTAATGCTTTATTTTATAGGTCTGGAAATGTCATGGTAATACACACACAAACATGAGTTTTTGCTGCTGTTGTCATAACCACCACACGTTCAGTCAGACATGGAGTTAACTTGGCTTTGGAATACAGCATGGGTCTGAAATAGCAGGATAGTTAGTAAAAAAAAAAAAAAAGTAAATTCTGCACTAAATATCCTTCTAACATTAAGACTTGATTTAGGCTTCTGCAGGAAATCTACATCCTAACTTACATAGTACCGGAAAACCCTTTCCCCCCCGTACACCATAACCAACTGAAGGCTCAGAATTAAAATACCAAAATACAAAACCATGAATTACAGAGACAAAACAAAAAAATCTCTAGAGAGCTGATCGGCCTGGTGATATCCTCTGAGTTGTGGAAAAGGTAAAAGTGTGGGGACCTTCCACATGCCATCAGTTCTTCTGTGTTGACAGACAAATTGCATATTTTATCATAGAAAATCTCCTGGACAGTTTTTTCAAATATTCTGTGTAAAATCATACATTTCAGTTTGTTTTTTTAATTAGGTACTTAGTTGGACACATTGTACTTGCTATTAAGCCTTGACATTATGGTCATATATATGAGCCTTAAAACAGAATGGATGGAGACCTTTTCGCTTCACAATAATTAAATATCTTTTTAGCCACCTGTACTTCTTTTTTAACACAAAAATAGGCGTCAAATTGACTTCAAAAACAGAATTGCCTGGACAAGTTTGAATTCATTTTAGATTTTCTCTAACACTTGGCATCAAATGTATACAGGTTCAAATATATAACTCACTTAAATCTTTTAATAAGTTGTACAAACTTGTATAAACTTCTCATTAGTGATTACAATTGACTACAACCGATCATTTCTTTTTACCAGCATAAACATTTGCTTGACCAACAGTGTTGGTCAAGCAAATGTTGCATTCAACAAAAGTGAAAAGCCACCACTTTATTCATGTCTTTGTTTTCACAGTATGGTCCTCATGTCCAGCAATGCATCCTCCACAGCTTTTTTCAGCTCTTCTGAATTATTTTCTGTGTTTGTTTTGAAGGCTGACAACACAAAAGCCATGTCATCCTTCAAAAGAGTATAGCATATATCATACGTTTTACGTTGATAAGGACAAGCACATGGGAGACAACCAGATTTGGACTGCACCTTGTGAAGTAGAACAAAGTTTGACATAGTGGTTAATTATTGTGTTAAACAATATAGTTGTTTGATATGCACTTTGTGAGAATGATTGAAACCTCATTAGCAACACAGCTAATACCATGTCATATAGCCTAAGAGTGTCCTTGATCTTAATAGATGTGTTGTGTTCATCATAACTATCAGTTGAGGCTGAAAACAAAAATAATATTTAAACAAAAGAATATAAATGAGTCCCTTCCTCATCAGTTTGGAAAGATACCAATTGGAGTAACATTAACCATTTTTTGAGGCAGACAGAAGTTTGCTTATGTCTCTAGTAATATAATACTATTAAGACTTTGTCAGCTCAATTTCAGCTGTGCTCCTCACCTGACTTGTAGCAAGTCGATAGTCAAAAACTTTATCAAAGGAGGCGTCTGTGAAGATGTCCGGCATGGGAATATTTTTCTCATTTGCTTGGTGCTGTAGACCCAGGAAGTGCCCAAAGACTGTCTGTCCACTAATTTCCTATTACAAAGAAGACAACTCACAATGTTTGCACAGGACTGAACATGAGCTGTAGAGTGCTTACACAGCATTTTTCAGACAGTTTCAGCACAACAGCAACAAAAAAGTCTGATTCTTTTATCCATGTTTGAATGGGTTTTTTGTACCCCATAGTTTTATATCCTATGGTCATCTTCTTAAGCCTAGATTATACTAACATGGACATGTAGAGCTAAGTAGCCATTCCTGATATACCTCTTTGAAGTCCATTGCCTAGGCCCATATGCAGGTGGTACATTTTGATGAAAAGTTTCATTTTGAAGAAAAAGGTCATCTGGTCTCAGATTCACGTAGATGCAAGCAGACTTACAGATACACAAGGGATAACGAAGGCTTTCTGTAATTATACAGTCTCCATTTATTTAGGTTACCCATCCTTTGTTTTTACCATGGCTGTATAGAGAAGACTACAATCTAGTCATAATTCGAGATTGTTAGGTAAATACAATCTCTGATAAACTACAGAAAAACTAAGCCAAAACAAAGAAGCAGTGTGGGGATTTTTAAGGTGTTTTATTTTTTTAAAATGTCAGTTTTCTGCTCTTGGAGCATTCAGCACTAAAGAGAAAGGCCATCAAATAATTTTAGAAGAGCAGTTGTTGCTGCCTATCAGTATGACAGTATGTCCTCTCTTCCCCCATCTTTGCCGTTCTTTCCTGCATTTATTACCTTGTTGGTATCAGTGTGGAGTAGAGTTCAGTATCTTTACAGGAGTCTTAAACTTTACACTTTTATTCATTGCCAATTGATGTCATATTAATGTGAGTGTCACATGTCCCCATAATTTACATTTATAGCATATTTGAAGTTTCCCAGAAATGTCAGACAGCATTTTTTGTACCATGTCTGCAACAATCATCTGTTTCAGTGTCTGTCGCTTTAAATCAACCTGGCTGCTGCACTGCCCCTTTCAGGAAAGGATCTGAGTGATGGGAACAGCCAATAGGAACAGCACTGCTCATTCTGTAGTCTACACAGCTGCTCATACAGACTAACAGTGTGACTTCCATCACTCTCAACAATGATGTTATTTTTAAATACAGCTGGAAGATATGTAAATACAGAGCTTGTTAGTGGCGTTGTGTTTACCCAGCCTGGATTTAGAGGTGCAAAGTTTATAAGCTGATTTTTACTGTAGTGTGGTGCGTGTTAATGTTAACATTTTGTTGTCCCATTTAACAGGAACAGACTGCCACTAAACTGAAGCACTGAGCAGTTTTGTCATTAAAACTCACCATGCTAGTGTTCCACTTGTGCACTTCTATAGCTTTCCTCAAAAGATCCACTTTCTCTGTGTTCTGTACAACAAGATTACAAGTTACAATTCATCACTTGTAACAAGGTAGTGTTTATGACAGAAGTTTGTAATCTAAAGCATTACATACCAGCAACATGCAAATAAGTGAAACTGTCAGCTTACTTCAAATACTGAAGTGACACCAAAGAAAAGTAGGCAACAGAACAGAGTGTTCCGCAGGTAAAAAAAAAAAATCCCATTCAGATTCTTAATGGGGATTGATTTGATTAGTCATAATGCAATCATCCACAGCAGATGTATTGTGAACTCTGAATATAAAACTCAGTGCCACAGAAAATTATGTGAGTGTCAAAGAAAAATAACTCTACCCACAATCCTAGAGTGAAATACCTGCACACACACCCTCCCCATACCTTCTTGTTTGGGTCATTAAAAGCCATGACAAAGGCAACTGAGGCACTTGAAGTTGAGGGGATTTCACCTACACGTCCCTGCCTGAACAGTCGCATTGAGGCAGCTTCATAAGATGCACAGTGCTGCCGGTGCACCCTGCCAAGAGATTGGAGAAAAATATTTTAAACAACCTGTGTTCCAAAATGAAACCCCAATTCCAAAAATGTTGGGATACTGTGTAAAAACAAAATATAAGAGAAGTCAATGATGTGCAAGTCAAAGCTATGTTCTAGTCACACTACAATATTTGTTTTTTATTCTTTATCTTTACAATGCATGGTTAATAAACAGACAAGTTTAAAACTTCAACATTTTGTTGGTGCAGCCCAAACCTTCTCTAAATTGAGAATTGCAACCATCACCAGTCTCATACAAATGACTTCATTACAGCTTAACAGTTGTAATGAAAATCTTGTGTCAGGCCCTTCAGAAGGGTCAGCTGGCAACAATCTATTTGCTTAGCCTTTTTTGCCTTTTTAGTATTTAGATTAACAAAGAAATACATGTGCTTTTGATAAGGATCAACATTTTATGTGAATGTTAAATAAGCTTTGCTCTCAATTAGGTCTATGCAGGAAAAATAATTGTTAAATCTGTGACTACAGCATTTTGTATGAGTGTGAACCCAGGTTGTTACGGTTAATGAGTTTAGGATTGTCTGTTCCATCTTAACTTGGTCAAGAAAAAGTCAGCCTACAGAAACATCTCCATAAGGTTTAGATTACTCACCTGTAGTAGGCCAGCTGTATAGCCATCTGTATGAAAGGATCAGGACTCATCTTGTTTGCTTTTAGAAAGTTTTTCCCATAGTGGCTGAATGAGAGAATACTGAAATCCAGGTCTTGGACGATTCTGTTGTGAAGAGGATAGGATAACAGATGTGTTTGTGTATTGCATGCTCCTGTTATAAGTATTGCTATTAAAATATGTATATATGCCTTGTTAAGTATGGAGAATGGAGGTAATGAACTATGGAGTTTTGCACTGCAATTTCTCTTTTCAGAATCAGGACACTGGGAGAGGTGGCACCAATGAAGGGAGGCAGGACAACACACAATGTATAAAACAGTAACTAATGATCAAATGCAGAATGAAAAGTGTCTTCCTTACTCACATCAGTGCATCATGGGAAGCCCCAGCAACCTACACCTATTTCAGTGTAACTAAAGAAAGATTCAGGGTCACCTGATCTAGTCCTACCTGTATGCTTTATCAAACAGGAAAGCTTTAAGCCTAATCTTAATCTTAAAAGTAAAGATGGTTTCTGTCTCCTGAATACAAACTGGAAGCTGGTTCCACAGAAAGGGGGCCTGAAAGCTGAAGGCTCTGCCTCACATTCTACTTTTAAATATCCTAGAAAACGAGTAAGTCTGCACTCTGAGAATAACAAGTGCTAATGGGGTGATACAGTACCATAAGGTCATTGAGATAAGATGGAGCCTGAATATTCAAGACCTTGTATGAGCAGGATTTTAACTTGGATACTGGATTTAACAGAGAGCTAAAGATAAGCCAATATGCCGTTTTTTATTTTATTTTTTATGTCACTGCCTAAGGACAGCATGTATAATGTGAAACAGAAGCGGTCCCAGAACAGATTTATCTGGAACACCATAAATTAACCTTAGTGTGTAAGGAAGACTCCCCATTTACATAGACATCAGATATGGTTCTAACCACTGCAGTGCATCATCTTTAATTCCTACGGCATGCTCAACTCTGTAATAAAATATTACAGTAATATCGAATGCTGCACGGAGGTCTAGCAGGACAAGCACAGAGGAGAGTCCACTCTCAGTCATGTTTGTTGCTTGGATAGAGAAAAAAAAAAAGTAATGAACCCTGTACATAAAGTAACATCTGTGCTCATTTGTGCATGTGTGAACATTTGATCACACTCTGGTGTGGATCCGACCAATCTAAACTTTAAAAGGTGTACATTTCAAGTTTGAGCTAAAAACTTCCCATAGCAACATACAATTTGCATTCTCATTGTAGCAAAGTACTATGGATGTGCAAAGGTCTGCAGGGGCTTACAACTAGCTGTGAAATGAATGGAAATTCTCTGTTCTCCAATAGTCCAGGATTACAGCACCTTCTTCAGATGTTTACTTTTGTTGCTTCTGCCCCAGACACATCTGGCCAATGAACTGAACGCGACGCATTTTGCTGCGCTTGAAGTATACTTTGATTATTCTCTGTATGAAAACAACCCAAACCACGAGAGTTTACAAACTCATTTACTGATTTGAACTAAATGAACTATAGGTGTGAAAACACCCTTAGTCGTGTTTATTTGGGTTTTTCCTCTGGGGATGGATTTTTGTTTTCAGTGGGGCTATGCAACTAAAACTTGAGCAGTAGCTTTTGTACTCACTTATCAATGCTTTGTTTGGCCTCCTCAATTGCTTTTTTGATGTCAGCTGTGATGTTGAAGTGTAGTTTCTGAGGTGTGGGCAAAGGCACCGTGGGAGACTCTATGATCTCTAGTTTCTTGCTGTTTCCAAAAAGGAGAAAAAAACAAAACACAAATGACAAACAGGGAATGCTACTGAGGGGCAGAAAAAAGCCAGCACAGGTAAAACAATCTCTTATGTCAATGGACATTTCTATCAAGAGACTTTTTGCAAGTGTGTTGAAAGCTTAAGGAGAAAAAAAAAAGTATGAAGTCACAGATGGGCTTTCCACCCACAGGAAGCATTCTAGTGTGTTTTGGGTGGCAGTCAGAGGCACAGGCCCTGGCAGGCTCTTTAAGTTGGCTATTGGCACATTGAATGTCACCTCTCTGGTGGGAAAGCTGGAGTTAGTGCTGTCTCTAGATTGGGCAACTCCAGATTGAAACCACAGTAACTGGACTTTTACTTTCATAGCGCTTTGTTACCCTGAGCACTCAAAGCCTCAAGCATCTCCAAAGACACTTTTTTTTATAATGTCAAGAAAGCCAGCATTGAAAGAGATCCCATCCCCAAGAACACTTTTTTAAAACCCTTTGTTAAACATTAAAGATAAAAACCTGAGTATTAATCCACATTAGTATAAATAGCTCTAACAGGTTAGACCACCATTTTTATAGTAACAGATCCCTAGGGCTTAATGTCTAGGCTACAAAACCAAACCCAGTCATAGTCCAAGAGCAGTGATCTAGAAGGGAGCTGCCAGAACAGGAGTGGCTGGTAGAAGAGCTTCCGGAAAGTGGCATTCAAAACTGGGCAAGCCTTCTTGGATTGAGGTTCTGGTTCCACAAATTGACAACGCCTAAGCTTTTTGTCTAAAATTTGTGCACACAATCAAATTCCAATAGTTGTACATGGATAATTTGACATGCAGACTGAAGTAGCTGGTGAATCCATCCTTTGGCATGGGTTTCATAGATTGTTGCTTCCCTGCACTTCTGGGCCAGAAAACAGACTGTTGTCTGTCCTTATGTGCCAAAAGACAGTTCAGAGTAGCCAGCATTGTCGAAGTTGTTAGGTGGGGTGCTAGAGAGTACACCACCAAGCAACTTTGTCCTATGGGGAGACTTCAATAATAATGTGGGCAATGACAGCAAGACCTGGAGGGGTGTGATTAGAGGAATGGCCTGCCTGATCTGAATCTGACCACACTCAGATTAAGATCAGTCTGTCCATAACATGTTCAAACATAAGGGTCTTCATGAGAAAATGTGGCACCAAGACATCGCAGGGTGATGAAAGGTGGCGGATTGGACAGATGCTGGCAGACGTGTAAAAATAACGCAATTGTTTGGTAGTGGCTATGGTGGAGCTTTCACAGATTCAGTAAAATTAGCAAGTGATGGAGGCCAGCAGGTGGATGGGGGAAAGGGGAGGCGGAGGTGGCGAGACCCAAAGCAGCCGCCAATCCGACTGTCTGGTGAGATGAGCTTCAGGTAAGAAGTTATGACCTGCAGTCTATCTGGGTCAGATATAAACCAAGTTTAGGTGGAGTTTATTTTCGTT